GTGTGCGACAAAGGAATTCAAAATACTACAGCAACTCGCGTAACAAAGGAATTCAAACCCGACTAGATCGGGCCACTTGCGAGGGAAAGATACAACTCACGTGAAGGTATAGACGCACCTGGTTCTAGCCTCGAACCAAGAAATTTTTCAGTTAATCTCATCTATCTACTCATCTACTTCCTCCTTTCCGAATTACTTGTCTTGGATTTGTCTACATACGGATGTATCTAGACTCATTTTAGTGCTAGATACCTCTGTATCTAGACAAATCTAAGACAAGTAATTCGGAACGGAGGGAGTAGATGTCATCAACCTAATAGAATTATGCCTCGTCCTATTATTGTCATTGGCCGCACTCAATATCGTCTATGCCATCCATGGACGTGAACTAGGGACGTGATTGGTAGCCTTCCCGAGAGAGTCTGGCTTAGCTCAGTCTAGCTCAACGAAGGCTAGTTGAGGAAATACAGACAGAAAACTAACATCTGCACATTATTTAGTTGCTCGCATCTAGTCTTGCATTAGGGGAACAATTTTGGCATAGAGTTTGGTTGTCTGCATTGGTTCGGCTCACGCAAATACACAGTGTTTGGTTGGATACGCGGGATATGAGTAAGAGCTAGTACTTATGCTTAACACACACGGTTACACTGTGCCTTGCGACTGCGGTGTACAGTGACCGTGGCACCGCGTCCGACAAGACGAGCACGAAAGATCGAGCGAGCGTTCCTGCCGGCGCCGCGGCGAACTAGTTGCTAGCATCGCCGCCGTAGAGAAAGTTCGTGTGGAAGAGCACTCAAGCAGAGGACGAGGGAGGAGAAATGCAGTGTGTGTCGGACCATGGCGACTGTAGTGGACGGTGGTCGTGGCGCCGCGTCCGACACGACGAGCATGGAATCGTGTGTGAGTGACCCCGTCGGCGGCGTGGTGAACTAGTTGCTAGCCTCGTCGCAGCAGAGAAAGTCTGCAAAAAGACAGTGGACGGAGGAGGAGAAATGCAGTGCTTGCGCCATGGCAGCTTCAGTGCAGTAGGACGAGAGAGAGGAGGCCGATATGACCGGCGCTGAAAACGACTCCAGTGTAGTTGGAAAGGAGGTCAACGGGAACGGTGCCGGCGTCGAGACGGAGGAATAGGAGAGAAGGCCGAGATGAACAACAACTACAATGACGCCACTGCAGCAAGATGCAAGAGAGGAGATTGAGAAAAACCACGCCGGTCTAGAAGAATGACTAAGTAGTGTCTTAAATTACACGACACATCTGCATATGTACAATCACGAGGAAGCTGTAAATCTTCTAGTTTACGATCCTTGAAACATAAGACTTTTAACAAGAATGTCACGTGGAACTGCGAGATTAGGCTACTGGTTAAAGGAAATTTCAAATGGTCGATCGTGTGTGACGAATTTGACAAAATTCATCTAAAATAACTCCAAACATGAACACAAAATTGAGCATTTACGGTCGATGAAACTACTAATCGATCGCAAAAATGAAACTATAACATCGATGTGCATCTTTTTCGTGTAGAGTTTATCTCGAATCGAAGCACCGTTGTGTAGATTAGAAGGGAGAAGTAAGAAATAAGATTAGGGAGGAGCTTAAAGGTAGAAGAAGATAACACGTACAGGTTGTGTACATGCCCGCATCCCTCCAACCTCCTCTCATGCAAGGGGCCTATCCATGTGCGCTCGATGTGGCTCAGCTCAGCCTGGCATTGTAAACTGCTGATCCGAGCGTTCTCAACGAGACAAGCCTAGAAGTGCTTTAAACTTAGTGCGATACAGGCTGAACAGTATATGCGGGCAACCAAATAGGCCGGATTCTTCCCGCACGGACCTGGTTGGGGCTAATGCAGTCAACCAAACACATCCTAGATGTTGCCAACTATTGCTCAAAAAGAAAAGAAAAATGTTGCCAACTCTGGCAATAAGGGCATCTCCAAGGCGGACTCGTAAACCTCCCGCAACCGTCTGGACAGTAGAAGTCATCCAACGTCGATGTGTATCCGTCCATGGAGCGGTCCGGACACAATTTCTCCCGTAAACTGGAGACAAAAGTGGGGAGGTTTGCGGGACTCCGGGCCGCTCCCAAGCCCGCTTCTGACCGCCTTGCCCACCACAAAAACCTCCTCCTTCCGCGTGCGCTTCCGCCCGGCGCCACCTGCCCACATTCATGCCGCTGTAGAGCGCGCCGCTCCGCATTGAAGATGACTCAGGGAGGACACGACCTCTCACTGCCTCCGCCAATGAAGCGGTGCGCCGGCCGAGGGCGCCGCCTGCTGCATGCCCGGCTAGACACGCCTCCTCGCTGCATTCATACATCTCCATTAACCCCGCATGGAAGCGAGAAACCTACTCCGGCCACACGTCCGTTCAGGAGCAGGTTGGCATTAAACGCCACGCTGGCCGAGCTCCTCCCGTCCTCCCTCTATTTAAACAACGGCACGCGCCGGGCAAGAATCACACCCCTCCGTCGCTCCCCCCATCTCCTCTTTCACCATTTTCTCCACTATTTCGATGGCATCCAACGGGCAGGAAGAGGAGTTCTCCGGCATAAAAGTCGGCATGGTGGCCCACCGAGCCCGGCGGATACGAGCGAAGCAGCTCGCTGCTCCACCTTCCTCCCTTAGGCTGCCGGAGCAAGTTGCCGCCCCAGTCCATTGTGTGGTTTAGCAACTCGCCGCTCCAAGCTAGCTCGCGGAGGAGTGGCGAGTTGCTCCAGGCCGGCACGGAGGGGAGAACGGCGGGACGGGCATGGACAACGTCACGTCATACCGCCCCTCCAGTGCCTACGACCGCGCCATCCACCGTCGACGCGCGCGTAGCCGCGCCATGCAGACAGAGAAAGAAGGCGGATGCTCGGAGGAGATCGACGAGTCGGTGGTCAGCGCATCCGCATCCACGTCCGCTGGCAACTTTGAAGGAAAGTAGAACATGGGAAGCCGCCGCTCGGGTCCCAGGAAGGCCACCGCCGACGCGTCGCCTGCTTGTACAGCCGGTGACGTGCTTGGTTTCTTCCTTATCTTAGACCACCCTGGCATGGGCGTCTACGGAAGCACCCTTCCCCTCCGACTAAAGCACCCTCTTCGCCACACTCCGATGAGCGGGGCACCTGGACATAGGGTAGATACGAGGGAAGAATATGCCTCCGGGACTCCCGGCAGTCCGGTGACGAAGGGATCCATCGCGGTAACCAAACAGTTCGGTGATGCAAGAGGGTTTTTACGGGTTACCGTTGAAGATGTCGTAACACCAATATGATGAGTAGCCAAACCGGATCCAAGCACGATGTAGGCATTCGATCCGCCAAACAGGATAGACCCGCTCGCATCGCCAGCTCTCGGCACAGGTATCCAATGAGTCGCGTTCAGATGCTCCGAAGCCACCAATAGTGCACCCCTCTTTATAGCATTTGTGATGCATTTTCTTTTTTGTGAATAAGAGCATCTCCAGTCGGACGCCTCGAACCCGTCTCATACGTTTGGATTGACCGCCCTGTTAGTGACTGGTCACGAAGTTTCGACATAGACGGTCGCCTCAAACGGGCCTAACACCCGAGTTGACCAACACCCCTTATATCCAGCACAAATATGGGGCGAATATGGGGGCTTCCGGGCGCGTCCGCCACGTCGGACCCGGCCCACGCTTTGCCACCCGATCCCACATATACTCGTCCCCATCCGTTCATCAGACCAAACTCTAGCCACTTCACTTCAATCTCCTCCGCCACACAAGCTCCTGTCCTGCGATCTCCGGCCGTCTCCGGCATGGCGAGCAGCGGCTCTGACTCTGACCAGTTCAAATCCGTCGACTGGGGTGTCATCCCGTGCGGGTTGGAGGAGGCAGTGGCCATCCGCATTGCACTTCGCCGCTCCCGGGAGGACAGCGCCCGGCCGACGACGGGATCTGTCCAGTGTGACTCCGTAGTGTCGGCTCAATGGGCACTCGGATCCTCCGGGGCTGGATCATCGTGGTCCTGGCAGCCGAAAAATCTCTGCTTCCCCATCACTGGTGGGGCAGACTATAACTCCCGCCGGGATCGGTCTGCCCGTCATGGGAAGGAGAGAATAAGGGCAGCCGAGGCCCGTCTCATTGCTGACAGGCGACGGCTGATGCGGCGGCACGGGCGGCCACATAGGAGGAAGCCATCTGCGCCCGCATTATGAAGAAGCGGCAACAGGGGAACACGCGCGCTCTTGCCCGAGAGCAGAATCGGGCGGTGCGTGCCATGGCAAGACTTCCACCAAGGAGGAGAAGGAGGACAACGACGGTGAGGACAAATCCGACGACGAGCAGATCCAACTTGATCCCTACTGTGTCTTCGACCGATACTTCCGCGAAAAGGACTGCAAGGATGCCTGGAAGGGCAAGGGCAGTCATTGATGATCTTCTCTACCATAGCCAAACATGCCAAATTTTGATAGTCCGATAGCATGTTGTAGTAGCCGGACGATGTAGCATCATTTACATAGTTGCATGGGTTTGTATGGATTTGAGATATGCTAATTGAGGTATCCAATTGTGAGATTGAAAATTTGAGGCTTGACCGGTTAGTGTCCGCATCCGCGGACGTTTGAGGGGTCAGATTTGCAAAGTCCGGTTGTAGATACTCTAATATGTATATTTCTCACAAAAAAATGTATATTTCTCCAGATAAAAACAGGCAACAGTATTATATGAATGGAGGTCGGTAGCACAATATCATAATTGATCTACCTGTAAGGGTCAACAATAGAAATTTCACGTCTATTTCTACAACGCCATTTATCAAGAAAGACCTATAGCGAAAGGAAGTGTCAAGATCGTTTTTCAGCTCCCAAGACTAACTTCCCTACGATCCTCTTCTTTTATCATTCTTCTCTTTGATATTTTGTACACAAAAGCTTCCTGTAATTAATTCAATCAATCCCATTGTGCCTCTAGTATGACACTGGCAAGTGGATCTCTTGAAGAAAACATGTCATACAATCCGGTGTTTGTGAGCAGGCAACATCAGAATTAACTGCCTCCCTTCTGCTTGAGGGTAATCTTATCTCCCAAGCTAAGCGCGATTCCTTGTGTCTTGCTCCTTATTCTGATGTGACCACTAAGCTTGCCATCGACTTGCTTCTCAATGCTGATGTTCACCAAAGCATCTTCTCCGAACACACTCTTGGCATAAAGATTAGCAGCAATGTAACCGCATTCCCCGTCAAGCGCAGACCTGGTTTCGGAAATTCCATTACAGACGAAATCAGATAAACAATGGACTGCACAACCTAACCAGCTATCCTCAAGAGCAGAATCACCTTATCAAAAACAGCTGTCAAAATTCTAATGCATCAGAATAATGAAAACTGATGCCCTATTTAGTATATGTCATGCATGACTATGTGAGCACCATAAATGCTTCAGTTTGTGCAATTTTATGCTCAGTTGTCAGTTATATAATATGAAAGCAGCTCATAATTTTTTTTCCGGATTAATCCTAGATAGAAATTAGGAATCTTAGCATTGAGTTTATGAAAGAAATGTTGAGTTTAGGAATCTTAACAGGTCATCACTGAACACTGAAATAGGCACTCACAACTGAAGTCTACATCTCAAATGTTTAAACCATATTCCACATGTGTAAATTAAATTAAATTATTCACGCATCTGACTAATGATCGCACACATATTGGTACCATGTATGCCTTGTACATGTAAACATATACTCCACAAACAACTATGCCAGTACATAACAAAGCACTCATAATTCTTATTTGCAAGGCAGCATACGAAGTCCATTGTGTAAAACTTACGGTGGTGTTAGACACTTCATGTTTGTTGACTTGATAACATGATTCAAAAATTTCTTCTCATCTTGAATTACAGTATTCACTGCAACCTGATAAAAGGACACATAAAGATGTGGTAAAAAACTGAAATACGAAATAACAAGAAATTTGTAAACACAATACAAAGGGGCAACATGACAATTTAAATGCACTCCATATGAGCCAGATGAAATGACAGAGCACAACATTTAGAGAAGGTTTTCAAAGCAAATAATAATAACAATAAAGTCAACCAAAGTAAAAGTTAAGAAGTCTGATATAAAGAACTCACACAAGCATGATTGATAAGAAATAACCCACAAAGTAGTTTAAGATAATGACTGCTTCAGCAATAAAGGTCAGAAGCTAAAAAGGCAACAGTATTTCAGCAAATAACTAGAGCTTATTGCTTAAAGTTTCTCATTGCAGCTTGATTTGGGGGATATAAGTCTATGACCTACTACTTGCCATGAATTATGGATAATAATAGTGTGGTAGAGTAAGCTACCTAAAGCAATTGGTCAAGTCAGAGACATTAAATCTAATAGATTTTTACAGATATCTTGGCTACATGAACAAAAAAAAAAGATTAAGCAAATTTTGTAATCAGCTGAGGTAACTTGCTACAAAGAATGGGGAACATCGTGCAGATGAAGTTTCCCAAGGACTCCATTGTGCAAAGAAAGAAGCATATTACCTTGTTTTCCCACTCAAATTCTGCCCACATGTTTCGGAAAGTAACATCTGCGCACGTAGCAGGTGAGATGTAATCCATGATGTCAATGTGAATATCATTTAGGACAACCACTGATCGTTCCATCACATTGGATGTCTCATAAACAATGTTCCCAAATATGACTCCAGTTTCTGTTGAAGAAACCTTGATATTGGCACGTACTTGCTTGCTTGACTCAGGAGCCAAAGTATAGTTCTGAGGACGGTCAACAAGTTTGAGGTCTCCCATGGTAGCTAATTCCAAACAAAGGTTCTGAAGTGTCTCCTTTGTGCGGTTAACGACAGTAACATCAAGTACAATATCATAATGATGAACTGTCACAAATGCTTCAGCATATACAGGATCACTGAACCCAGTCAACTGAAGAATGCGATTAAGTCTATTTGCATCATCTGTTTCCTTAGTGAATCCACCAGTTGCAGCCTTCAAATCATCTTGGACCTCGTCCTCCAACTCAAGCTGGCTCATGCCCTAGGAAACAAAATAGAAAATGCCAAGTTTGTTTTAACAAGGGGATGAACAGATATAAAGCAGCACGCTAGCAAGTTCTGGCAATTATGAGCTCACCATCCAGGACAATACACAATGATACAGATAATTTCTACTGAAGCTTTGCTGTATACTACATCCGTCGGGAAATACTTGTCGCTCAAACGGATGTATCTAGATGTATTTTACTGCTAGATACATCCGTTTGAGCGACAAGTATTTCCGGACGGAGGGAGTACAACGCTAAGGTAAACCCTTTTGTTTCGAAGCAATTGGTCCATTTCACGTGTATCAACCTAACATGCGTAAAACCTGTCTTGATCAGTTGGTTTTCTATCCAGTCAAAGAAGATAAAAGTTTCCTATCTATCCTCCTAGAAAAATCTAGACAACCTGACATTTGGCGAGTATATCAAATCCAATAAACACACATAAACCTAAACCATTCATGTTCAAACAAGGGTATTAACAACTGAACAACAGCAGCAATTAAAACACACATTAGTGAACTACCACGTGTAATACTGTGGTATACAAAAAAGAGCATGAGAAAAGCTAATCAAGCTTTCTTTAAAACCCAAATGCATTGAAAGATGCTAAAAGAAATTGGGCGAGGACTTCTAGGACTACTGGGCAAGTAAAAATGTTACCAGACATGGTATACACGTATCATTCTTAAGGATCAAGAGACTAATGCTGACTGTACAGCAATTACAAAATCCATTTTGCCTGGATGCAAGATAAGAGTACTCCATATGCTATGCAATAACTTCTCAACAAATATTAGATTCATGATGCCAAGCACCAAGTAATGCATTTACTATTAGAAGCTTGGAAATAGAATGGTTGTAAAGCCAGCTGCCAATTAAGCACTAGCCAAAGAAAATGTGGCAATTTCCATAGGGCAAAAGCAACAACTGATAAGTAGTTTTTACTTGCCTTTCTGCTCTTGAGGTGGTAGAAGTCAATAAGATCATCTGGCTGGGCATGAGAGATCTGTGCCTTGGCCCTCATCTCCTCTGTCTCCCTGAATTGCTTCTCAGCAAGCATCTTGGCAAAACTCTGTCTACATGATTGCAACCAAATCCTCCTCAGATCATCACCAGTGTTGCAAAGCAACCTCACACAAAGCACAATCCTATCATATGAATCATTATCAATCGGTTGGGGAAGGTAGGAGGATAGTCCCAGCTGCAGAATAGACGTCATGACCAGCAAGGCCCCAGTACAGGCCTTGTTTGCTTCAACCTTCGATTGCTGCACCTCCTCCAGCCTTAGTACCAGTTTGGTAAGGGTACATGCCACAACTGCAGCTAAGAAAAAATCACCTGACAGAATGAGTGATCTGAGATTTAGGGTCGATGCTAATGATCCAGGAGTAACTGGAGTCGAAATGGCCTCGGTAGCAGCACTCTGTGTGGCATAAGTGCCATCTGCAAGAACAACAGGCCGCCTGGAAGACACAGTGACAGAGTTCACCACCGGCTGGGCTGGCTTGGAGGAATCAGTTGTCTCCCCTTCCTCTGAGATAGTGAAGAATGGTAGATCCCCAAGGCACTGCTTGATAGTGGCAATGGCGCTTTCGACCTCTGATAAAGATAGGGAGTACTCACCAAGGATCCAGAGAGCGATTGAGCAGACACGGGATGCCCGGATCTGGTAGAAGGTATCACTCAGCCTCTGTATCATGGACACACACAGCTTGGGATTAGTCTCAGTGATCTCACGCACAAATAACACAACATCAACTGCCGCAGCGACATTAGTGTCACCAAGGAAGTCCATGAGAAGGTGCACCACCGATCCAGCCACCTCTGGGTATTCCACAGCACATGCATGAATCGCTTGCACCAGCATCTGACGGTACTCACCACCCTTGTCAAGCTCCCCTGATTGTGTCTTGACCACCTCCTTCTTGAGATAAAGCGCCACCTCCTCCACATTACGAGGAGTGAGCAGATCGAGCACCAAATCCAGCACCTTCCTCTTGACATCCAAATTCGGGCTGGCAAGTGCACGCAGCACATCCATTACTACATCCACCATCACATCCCGGTGTGACGTGTGCAGCTCATTCAGACGGTCCAGGAGAATGAGCCTGACATTGTTGTCACTCTGCGATGAGAGGAGCTGGCAGTATGTTTCGGCGGCAGCTCGCACTGCAGTGGGAGCCGAGGAGAGAGACACGATAGCACCCGCGCACTCATACAGAACCGCGGTGCTTGGAGAGGAACGGAGGGATAAAATGATCTTGATATACCTGCCCTTGTCGGCACGGTGGTTTGGAGGGCGGCAGACCTTGTGGATGAGATCTACTGCGGCCATCTGGAGGAGATCGGGCCACTCCATGACACGCTCGGCGTTGGAGAGCAGGTAAGCCACAGCACGTTCCGTCCCACAGAGGCAGAGCATGACGAACGCGTTTCGCCGGGCGGAGGCGTCCTGCTCCGACGCGAGTGCGCGCTCGACGAGCTCGGGTGCGTCCGGAATGAGCTGATCGCCTTGCGGGAGGCGGTAGATAGCCGAGATGGCGGAGAGCGCGTGGCGGCGGATGAAGTGGTGGCGGTGCTCGAGATTCTCGAGAATGGAAGGAACGAGCGGCTCAAGCACCTCCGGCTCGGAGAGGCGGCAGAGGAACCGCAGCGTGACGCCACGGATGTACTCGTTGGGGTGCTGCAGGTTGTTGCGGAGGTTCTGGCAGATGAGGATCATCTCCGGGAGAACGCGGCCGGCGGCGTCGCGCTTGTCAATGATCTCGAGGTAGAGGAGCAGCAGCTTCTGAATGGTGTGATCCTCGGAAGGGAGGACGTAGCGGACGATGGTGATGAAGAGCGTCGGCAGTGTCTCGCCATTGAGGAGGAGCATGACGGCGCGCTTCATGGCCTCGACCTTAGCGGCGACGTCGCTGCCCTCCAGATCCGCCTTGATCTCGTTCGCCATGGCGGCGGACCCCTTGTCGAAGTGGACAAGCAGCGTGGACGGCTTGTCCATGGTGCCGGACGCGCGCCGGAAGCGCCGGCGGGTGGGTTAACGGTGGTTAGATCAGGGCTGGACAGAGTGGATCTGGATCTGGGCGGGTGGAGCGGGAAGAGGGGAGTTGTTCCTATATATATTCCTTTCGGGTTTTTTACTTCGCGTATAAGAATTAAGCAAAGTTTTACCAAAAAAAAGTTTATACTAGCAGCTTGTTTGGTAAACATTTGGGTAGGGGAATATGAGTTTTTTTTTCATCGAATTTAGGACCTTATTCATAATAACAAAAATCGGTTACAGTCTGCTCGTAGGCTAGCACGTAGGAAAACTGGGCTAACAACTAGCCAACTATCCGTCCCATCAAGCGTACAGGCACGCTGAGCACAGTGATGGGCCGGCACATTTAAGTTCCTACCGACATGTCGAACCGAAAAAGAAATAAAGTGTGGTACAATGTCTAATAATGATACCTATAGAATATCTTTATAATCACCCAATTACGTTGTGACATTTGATAGCACACAAGACATTCCTCCGGTATTCGGGAGTTGCATAATCTTATAGTCGAAGGAATATGCATCTGACATGAAGAAAGCAATAGCAAAAAAACTGAACGATCATTATGCTAAGCTAACGGATGGGTCTTGTCCATCACATCATTCCCCTAATGATGTGGTGCCGTTATCAAATGACAACACATGTCTATGGTTAGGACACCTTAACCATCTTTGATCAACGAGCTAGTCTAGTAGAGGCTCACTAGGAACACGGTATTTGTTTATGTATTCACATATATATTTAAATTTTCGATCAATACAATTATAGCATGAATAATAAATCTTTATCATGAATAAGGAAATATAAAATAACAATTTTATTATTGCCTCTAGGGCATATTTCCTTCAGTCTCCTACTTGCACTAGAGTCAATAATCTAGTTCATATTGCCATGTGATTAACACCAATAGTTCACATCGCTATGTGATTAACACCCAAAGGGTTTACTAGAGTCAATAATCTAGTTCACATCTCCATGTGATTAACACCCAAAGAGTACTAAGGTGTGATCATGTTTTGCTTGCGAGAGAGGTTTAGTCAACGGGTCTGTCACATTCAGATCCGTATGTATTTTACAAATTTCTATGTCTACAATGCTCTGCACGGAGCTACTATAGCTAATTGCTCCCACTTTCAATATTTATCCAGATTGAGACTCAGAGTCATCCTAATCAGTGTCAAGCTTGCATCGACGTAATCATTTACGACAAACTCTTTGTCACCAACATAACCGAGAAACATTTCCTTAGTCCTCTTTAGGTACCCAAGGATAATTTTGACCGTTGTCAAGTGATCTACTCCTGTATTTGTAACATCTCAAATTTTCAATTTGAAATGTTATACATAGATCATTCATGCATAATCATATTTCATTGCATCTCGTTTCGTGATCCTCGAAATCCTAAGCAACTCAAGGACCCTCGGAGAGAGTTGGGGATTTCCCTGTTTTCATATTGGAGTTTTATCGAATATTGAAACGAGGATTTTTGGTTTTAAATATTTTTCCTCCGAAAATATTTCATATTAAAATATATGAGAGGAGATAATATGACTTTTCCAAAATAAATGAAATATTGGAGGAAAAATATTAAAATCAAATATTGCATTTTATCCGGAGTTTATTGCTATTTTATTTGAAATAGAAAAATTGCACGTTTTTCAAAGTTGCATTTTAGGGCCAAGAAAATGTTCATCTTGTTCTAAATATTTTATTTAGACGGTGAAAATTTGTTTTGGCATTTTTAGATTTTTATTTTATTTATTTACGATTTTTTTAGTTCGACGAAATTATTTTTTTAAGAAAAGTTTCAGCGCCAGACTGGCCGAAGCCCAGCCGAGCCGGCCCGCTCGCCGCCGTCTCCGACCTGGAGATTGCGCGTCGCGTCGCCGCCCGACCTGGGAGTCCGGCCGGGACTCCGCCTCCCCGCCGCCTTGCCCCCTTCTCCAAGTCGACCCCCCTCTTATATACGCCGCCCCCGACCCTCCCCCCCCGCCGCCCTCGCACCCCGCCACCGCAGCCCCGCCTCGTCAGAGCATCGCCGGAGGTAACGCCGCCGTTGTCGCCGCTATTTTTTTTAAGAAAACCGATTCGTTTTTTTAAAACAACCTAGTTCGTTTTTTTAGATCGGTTCGACGGTTTTTCTCGGTTTAGTTATTTTGCGGACATTCGTTCGTACGTTAGTTTTAACGAACGTGTTCACTCGTTAGCCGTAGACAACGAACGCCCGTTCGTTAGCCTGTTCATCAGTTTTCTTCCCGCGATTATTTTCAATCGCGATTTCTGATCTGATTTTCGTTTTAGTTTATCTTTTCGCTCGTTTGTCGGAATCAGGCGATTCAAGCGCCTAGATCTTCGTCTCGAAACCCTCTTTCCGTTTAACCAACTTGAACAAGTTTTTGCTACTGTAAAAATTTGACATTAGTCCAGATTAGCAAACAGATCTTGTTTCTTTCGCAGTTTGAGTTTCGTTGCTCCGTTTGATTTGATTCTTTTTGCAAACCGGAGTTCTTAAGTTGAACCTTCTAGTTAGATCTTCTTATTTGAGATTTACTTGTGTTTCTTTGCTTGATTGCTTATGTATACTATTATTTGTTTGCGATAGAACACCCGGAGTGCGAAGCATGCTACTACGAATCCCTAGGTTTTGCGGATCATCAGCAAGGCAAGTAACACTTCGATCATACCCCTTTATCACCCAGTTTTTATGCATTAGTTCCAATCCTCAAACATTGCATGGTTAGGATGTGATTAACATGTGGGTTGGGAAGTAGTTGATGAGGTAGAACCTATTACCCTGTTATTTATCAAACCCTTGGGAGTTACTTCTACGTGTTGCTTTTATTGCTATGATATGCTCGTAGACGTGGTTTGGGTGAGTGAAATCCATGACAGATGTGAGATTGTTAATTAATGGTTCAACTTAAGGTGGCAACTTGAATACACATCTGGGTGGATTGTTTGTTGGACACCTGGGGAATCCAGTGTTGTCCTAGGATATCCCGGAGTACCCGTGTGATAATCCTATGGTCCGCCACCCAGGCTCAAAGGGAACCGAGATATTTTCATGCTAGAAACTTCCATGTGCAGCCACAAGCTATCATGGGCTCTAGCATAGTTAAGTAAGCTGCGTGAAGCTCCCGAAGAGGTGGATCAGAAGGTAGAGGGATGTAGGTTGGTATGGTCTGCCCGGAGTAAGGGGTTAATGCTTCTGAAAGACTGTGTCTCGGTCATCCGTTTCTCAAACACCATGTAGTGTGAGAAATCCAACGGAGGAGATCGAGTCTTGTGGGGAAAAGTGCGCAAACCTTTGCAGAGTGTATAAACTAATCACGGTTAGTCGTGTCCCCAGTTATGGACATCTTGAGTATCTAGTACTTGGAGTATCATAAGTATCTCATCACTCTAGAATAATATTGTTGGGTTGTTAATTACTTTAATTGGGATTGAGTTGGAGGAACCTTCTCAATGATGTTTCAACTACCATGATAGTTAAATAAAATCTATTCCTTTGTTGTAGGAAAAAATTGGCTTTTCACAAAAACTATAACCATAGAGCTTTCCACCAGCCAAATATGCATGTAGTGATAGCATTATTCTGTTCTTGCTCTACTGTGTTACTTTGCCAGCATATTCCATGTGCTGACCCGTTTTCGGGCTGCAACGCATTATGTTGCAGACTTTTCAGACGAGGAGTAAGATTCTTTAGGTCGTTGCCGTGCAGCTCAGTTATGCCGTTGGAGTTGATGGACTCACTTTATCTTCCAAGCCTTCCGCTGTTATTGTATTAGATGGCCTTAAGCCATATTTATTGTAATAAGTTCTCTTTTGAGACATTCGATGTAATAAGTGTGTGATTGCTACTCTGTTATAAATACTCGAGTACTGTGTGTGTCAGCATTACCGATCCAGGGATGACACTGAAGCACAGAGACTTGACCGTTTGAGGTCGGGTCGCTACAAGATGGTATCAGAGCACACGCTGAGTGTAGGACACGACCACTAAGCTAAAGCCCTAGATCACTATTCTCTTCTCATTTCTGACTCCTCTCCATTTTCTACTCTTTAGGATGGCAGACACAAGGAACAAGTTTGCACAACCGAATGAAGAAGCACCTTTTGGACGACACTTGAAGGAAGTCACTAGGTACTTGAACATTGGAATACCAAGCTTCACCGGGACTTACAACGCCACTTTACCAGAAGAGGAGCGATGGATGATTCAAGTTCAAGTTCCAGGAAGGACATTCACGCTAGTCACTAAGCCCATAAGTTTTCCTTCGATGCACCAACCTAGAGTATAGGAAAGAGTATGGCAGCTCACATCACCATGGGACGCATTGGAGAAGTTTATCATAAGGAGCTTAAGGATACTATCTATCAGATTTGTGGGCGCCGAGATGAGCAATGGGAGATGATCAACACCAGGAAGGATAGATTAATTGTAGCTTTCATCCAGGAGTTAAACCAACACATTCATCGCCAGGAGAACCAGATGTGCGCAGGAATGATAGACCTGAAGAAGGCAATGACTAGGATCACGGAACTGGAGGAAGAACTTAAAGCTACACATGAATATTATGAGGAGGAAATCATCGTACTAGTGGAGAAGAATGACAATCTGGAAAGGAAGCTAGGAGTATTCCTGGGAGACCCCGCACCAGGAGGAGAAGACAAAGAACCCAAGGAGATTCGTCCGGAGGACTACATCATCATCGACGACACCGACTCGGACCCCGACAATAGCGATGATGACTATGAAGATGAAGCTAGAGCAGACATCATGGAATCTTCAACCGAAGAATATTTTTAGTAGACCACCACATCAGTAGTAGTATTCCACCATTTAAATAGTATAGTCCGAGCACTTTTGTAATGATAGTTAGATCGATTGTATGCCCTTGCTTGATTGATTGAGTGAAATGTTTGTGTTTGTCTCATGTGCATATGGGTAGTGTTTTCTT